CTCTTATTTATTAAAATTCATATTGAGGTGCCTGGGTGGCTCAGTCTGTTAAGTGACTGACTCTTGGTTTCAGCTCAGGTCATGATCTCAGGGTCATGAGATTGAGCCCCACATCAGGCTCCATGCTCTGCAGGGAGTCTGCTTCTCTCCTTCTCTCTCTCCCTCTGCCCCTCCCCACTGCTCGCTCATGCTCTTGCTCTCTAAATAAACAAATAATTTTTAAAGAATAATATTTATATAGTTCTTTTATATACAGTGCACAACTGAAAATACATATAAATGCCAATCTCACATCCTCAACCTTCAAAATATTGAAACTTTACATTATGTACCCATTGTTCTTATCTAGTCATAGTGAACCTTAATACAGAATTATTTTACACTTTTTTATCATCTAACTATTGTCCTCATGATTTCATAGTCATTTATGGTCATTTTCCTAAATAATTATGATTTCTTTTAACCTACTTACCTATTGTTGTTCTGTTTTTTCCAACTAGCCAGCAGTGGTAGCTGAAAAGTGATAGGACGCTGATGAAGAACATTGTAGACACAAAGAAAAGGAAAAGTACGTGGAACTTTGCACGTGTATCAGAGAGTTCATTCTGAGGAAGGAAGAAGAGTTAACTTTAGAATAGTCAGCCCCTAAAATATATTATTACTTGATTCTTCCTAAAGACTGTTGAATCTACCAAAAATCTTGCCAGATCTGAAGAATATAAAATAAATTCAGATAATAAATCCAAAAGCAACATCTCCCAAAACAGAAAATTGGCATTATCAAAGGAGCTTGCTTATATAAAAGGTTGAAAGGGTCATTTAAAAAATTACTCTTAAACATTTAAAAATTTTAGTAATATATTCAGTAATAAAATAAAAAGAAGCATTTTTTTACTCAACATTTTTATTTTGTACTTTATGCATATATTCCTAAGCTTTCCCTGATATCCAGGATAGACAAGGGTTTTTCCTTATCTATGCTAAAATATTTGCTTATTTTAATTATACATGCTGGTAACCAAACATTAATTGTGATAAATTTGTGTACTTCTTTAATTTCTATTTTTTTTTTAAAGATTTTTATTTATCTGACAGAGAGAGAAACAGCGAGAGAGGGAACACAAGCGGGGGAGTGAGAGAGGGAGAAGCAGGCTTCCCGCAGAGCAGGGAGCCCGATGCGGGCCTGATCCCAGGACTCTGGGATCATGACCTGAGCTGAAGGCAGACGCTTAATGAGCCACCCAGGCGCCCCTTTAATTTCTATTTTTGGAACACCCCAGCATATATCCCCATGCCCTCAGCTGTTCAATTCCTACCTTTTTTATCCTCAATTTCTACACGTTTTTTTTAAGGTAATTAGCGCTTTAGGTAAATACATTTACCACAAGGTATTAGTGAATGAAAACAGCTTTGCTGTTACCCATTCTTATGGCTATATTCATTTTAACAGAAGCAAAATCTTAACCTAGAAGAAATTAGTATCTATTAATAGGAGAAAGAGGAAGCCTTTAAATGTTAGCTCTTAAAATAAAACCACATGTGCAAATCACAGACTCCACTAGAACATGAGGTGGTCCTGGCTTGATTTAAACACTGTTTACACGATAAAATGAAGGTTTTTAGCATTAGATTATTCTGGCATTTATTTTTTACTCTTCTCTCCCAGAGTAGCCACAGTACCTTTTAAACATATCAAGCAATTCTTTTAACTTCCCATCTTGTGAAGCAAATGAGTATTATACATATTTACTAGAAATTTTCACAAGAATGGCATGGCAATAATGTGATTTTACCTTTGGACAACTCTCTGTAGATTTCCTGTGGCAAAGCTTGTACAAATAGAGATAATGTATTAAGAAACTAAATTTTATACAAAATTATTCTGAACACTAGTTTTATAAATCTTTCGTTTTGAAGGAACACTAAGATGTTGTTCTCTAAAGGTCACTGACAACATTTTCTCCAAAAACACAAAAGAGAAAACAGACAAGAAAATTTAGCTCCTTAAGCACATTCAAGGTACACCTTAAATATATACTTTCCCACTATTTTAAAGAGATTTATATCTAGGAAAGAATAAATTAATTTTTTTAGCAAATAGCTTTTATTAAAAAGCTTCTGATTAGTAGTTTCTCAAAACTGTATCCGAGAATTTCTTTTTTTTTTTTCACTGTTTAAGGAATTTTTATTAAAGCAAGAATTTTATAATCCAAATTACATTTCCTTGCTCAGTTATCAATCTGTTATTTAAAACAGAAGTGACATTCTGAGCTATTCCACAGTAAAGAATTACAAAATTAAAGAAAGGAATGCTTTAAATTTTTGTACTTTGCTGAAAATTCTTTTTCCCAGGGTCTATAAAACATTAATTTGTTTTTATATTTTACTATTTTTTTGGTTTTTTTTGTTGTTTTTAAATCAATAAGTAATCTAGGACTAGCATTACGTTTGCTAGACCTGGCATTTGCTCGGTACATAAGGTTCAAAGTTTCCTTTCCTTTTTTTATTTATTTTATATTTTGCAATGTTTTTTTCCATAATGTTTAAGTTTTTCGATGTTTAGATATTTTTCTTCGGTGAAGCACAAGTTTCTTTTCGTGGTCCCTGATCAATTTTAAACAGTTGGAACACCAGTGGCACTGTTAACTGCTTTCTGGGCAGCCTCTTTCGCTTGGTGGGCTTGTAGTACAGCTACAGCTTCATCAACTTTAGAACGGAGAGACTCTGGAGACTCAAGCATATGAAGAAGTTCTGAATTATCAATCTCCAACAACATGCCAGTGATTTTACCAGCAAGAGTAGGGTGCATGGCTTGAGTTAGAGGAAAGAGCCGTTCACCCAACATTTGCTTTTGCTCTTGAGGAGGGGCTGATGCCAACATGGAAGCAGTCAAAGGCTCCTGACCTTGTACATGAACAGCAGGCTGCTGCATGGTAACTTGTGGCTGTGCATTAAGATGCTGTTGAGGATTGCGAACTCCCGCAGCATACTTACACTGTGGAACGGTGCGGACAGCAGGTGCTGCCGCGGCAGCGGCCGCCGCAGGACGTGGCCCCAATGTCTGTGTTGATGTGTTAGCAACACGCTGTGTCGACATGACTCGTGGAACCTGGGAAGAAGCTGGTCTCATGGTACTAAATGGTGGTCTAGGAGCGGCTGGGCGGATAGCACCGGGCATATTTTGGAATGGATGAGGTCTGGCACCCTGAGCAGTCCAGCGAGGACTTGGTCTTAGTTGAGCAATTTGGCTAGGAGGATAGTATGCAGCACGGTTCTGAGTCTGTGGGATAGCTGCCATGAAGTAACCTGAAGGAGGTGCTGGCTGGTAGGGGTTGATTACAGGATTGGGCACAGCTCTTACACTTGCCATTCTCTGCATATACTGGTTAGTGAGGTGAGCCTGGCGCTCTTCTTTGCGCTGAGCTAAAGCTACATACAATGGCTTGGTGGCCACAATTCTACCATTCATTTCTGTAACTGCTTTTGTGGCTTCTTCTGGGGAGGAGAAACATACAAAACCAAACCCTTTGCTGCGACCACCCTCCATCATAACCT